TGGCTTGTCCTGTAGTATTTAGAATACAAATACATTATTTAATATTTAAAAATATTAAAATATATAATCATAAATTCTATAAATAAAACGCAGGTAAAAAAATTATTGCTTTCGAATAAAATAATATATTTATTACTTTCAAATTGTCTAGTGTAAAATAAAATTTCAAAAGATTAACTACCTTTTTTCATAAACTTGGGAAGTTTTTTTCACAAACATATCAAAGTCTCTTGTAAAAGTTTGGTAAGTCTTTAATATTATTTTTAAAAGAGTGTATATTCTATAAAAAAATGTTCCCTAATTTATTTTTACAATAATCAATTTCTAAACTATTTTTAAATGAGAAACAAAAATTATATATAACTTTAGAATAAAAACAAAAATTTGATAATATATTGATTAAAAATTATTTTGATTTATTTATGGTTACAAATATAAGTTTAGTTGTACAAGATTTTGTTATTGATTCAAAATTGTCATATCACAATTTTGTTAGTCATGTCATAATTGTTTTGGTGAAAATAATGGTAGAGATGACACATAAGCATCTTTTCACAAATCACGTCTGTGGGAAAAAATAATTCAAATCGTTAAGATTATCTCTACAAAATATACAATGTATTTAAATACATTTCCATATAAATATTTCCGAGACTTTACTACCTTAACGATTTTGTGGAGATACTCTTAACGGTTTCTCTTGTTTTCCAATTATAAATAATGGTACTAAAATTTTGGATGCTGTTAACGTCAATCAATTAATCAGAATATGGTAATTCTTATTTTAATTGAAATATTTCCACAAGATTGTTCTTGTGTAGATTTTACTAAAGATTTTCATATTTTAAATTTAGAATAATAAGTCCATTATTAATTAAATATCGAAAAATGTTATTTTTTTTGTTGAAAGCTTTCAATATTTCCAATTATGAAAGACTTTTATATTTGAAAATTAGAATTGATGATACAGAAATTTCAGAGCAGCCAAATTTTACACTTTTAAATTTATAATTGCTCACACGTTTTATTTCTGAGATATTTTTAAATTTCAAAAAGACAAATTTGTGAAGATAACGATTTCCATAATCTTGTAAACGTCATATTAATCTTGTGTAGATTGTACTAAATATTATCATACTTTTAACTTTATAGTTGAAGATGATACATAAATTTATATTTGGACCGAAACGAAATGTAACAGATTTATTTAATTGATCTTTTTGGTTGAACATAATTTTTTGGAAATAAAGTAAATTCTATTAAAGTCCAAAAAGAAATTATTTTTAAAAGTAACAATAACTAAAATCCATAATCAAATAATAGAAAGAAAGTATGTAAAAATAATCTTCTATTCCGTGAGATTATTTTTTTATAATCACTTCTTAACTTCATCAATTGAACCATCATTCTCATCTTCTTTTTGAACTTGGGC